ACCTTTTTTCCAACACACTCTCTCTCTCCCCCTCCCCCCCCAACTACTCCAATACAGGTTTCACAAATGCTAAATAAACAAAGCAATTGCCATCTATAACTTAAAGCAAAACAGCAGGGATAAGAAATAAACAAACAAAAATCAATACTTAGCAAGGTAATCTGACATATTCTAATTTATTCAAATTAAAACATTGCACAAATCACAATACACTGTGTTTTACACCCTTCAGATATCTTGAATAAACAGTCTTCTGACAGGCAAGGCAGATTCTACTCATCAGTACATCAGACAAAGGTAAGCTGGCTAATTTAGCTAATAAGCTAAAGAGCAACACCTTCATAGTGCATAGAAGACATTATATCCCATCGACATATTTTAACTTCTTGCAGAAACAGGTCAGTTATCAATCAACATGACCAAGAAATGTTGACACATACTTTTTTTTTTTAAATCATGTTACTTTTTCCCACCACTGTCCGAGGCTCCAAGAAGGATGGACTCGCATACCTGCTTTTGACTCACGCCTTGCACAGCACTGACATTAAAAGAAGTATCATGTTCCCATTCATCAGAGCCTTACATTCTGATTGCTTTACAGTGGGTAAAAGCAAAATTTCATAGTCTAGAAATACTAAACAATAAACTAATGTCTTTGCTTCAGAAGTAAAGAAAACCTCTTCTGTCAGAATTCGTATAAAACTATACAGCAATTAGCAGACATTGTGACAGTGAAAAAATACAATTAAGAGGTATATTCAAATTCTGACCTAACTTTATAAAAAAGCTAAAGAAATCAGGGGCAAGGCTTCCTAATTGCCACAACTGCTTGCATGGAAAAACCTTAATTTTGTGCTGCTCAGTGTAATATGACTGAGTGCAAATCCTATACCTGAATGTATAGCTTTTTTCCTTCCAAAAAAGGAAGACCTACAACAATTGCACTGAGGCAATTACTGATTTTTGGCTGAATGCTCTATCCTTCAACTTATCCTGGCTCCTAAATTACAATTACAGCACATTTAATATGTTTTAGATGGAGTCAAGTTTGTTTTTCAATAAAGTAGCATCTTTTAAATTAATTAGATTACACACTGAAGGTCTGTATTTTTATATACATTCCTCCATGACAATTTCTCCTTTCCTAATTTTAAGAAAAATTTGATTCAGAGAGGCAAGCATAGCAGTTCAACTATGAGCGCTGCTTCTCCTCTTATTTCTCCAAGCATTAGCTAAAATTTTGTCAGACTTTGATACAAGGCATAAACATAATTATGTTAATAACCGTTCTGTCATGACTTGGCCCAACTGTTATTTGCCAGTCAATATGTTTACTGATTCAAACACCTGTAAGAATATTTACAGTTATACTTGGTCTTATTTTAAAAACACTCTTTACGTATGCAAAACACACACTTAAGAAACCACCACACTGAATTAAAGGTATTTTTATGTGTTTTCTCCAAACAAGAGCTGATACTTTAGAATTTAGAGCAAAGTTTTACAGCATAGTTCAAGCATTTCTGAAGCACTGTTTCAGAACTTTGAAGTTATTCAGGATGCGGATGACCTTGATTCCTTCTTTCCTATTCATGTCCAAAACAAACACAGGAACTTGCATATGCACAACACATACTTTCCACAGAAGTTCCCTACAATTAGTTCTTGTACTTGTCCCCAAACCTCTACTACATAACTGCAGTTAAGTCAGACTCTGCTTGTACACAGAATTTGCCCCTTCTTTCTGGTTTATAAGTGTTACTAGAAAACAGAAATAAAAGATCCAGCAAGAGAGGTAAATCGGTTGTAACATTTCCTGCCAAACATCCTATAGATATCTAGCTGTATTAACATTTAAAAAAAACATTTATATATTTTCAAGTATTTAATTTGTATACGCATGCCCTAGATGCAAGATGAGCAGCGCTGCACATGCTTTTTAAGGTAGTTAACAATCGGAGCTCTCAGCAGTTTTTCAAAACTTGTAATTCCAGAAGAGTTTTCGGCAACAAATACAGCTTTTTGCATAAATCAAGTTTGGTTATAGTTCTCTCACAGGATAAAAGACAGGCTGTGCTACAAAGGGTAAGTAACTTATGTTCCCTTTTCCCTTTGGCTTCTTTCCCCAGTTCCTCAGTTTGAGAGAGCTGGATTACATACCCATTGCTGATGAGTCACATTCTGGGAATACCAGAAGATATTCTTCTTAGTTTAATGCATTCATTTCACTTTTCTGTAAAGTCTACCATTCAATAAAAAAATAAAATTGTCAACATTCTTAAGACTTCCTAAACCCTAACTATGTGCCCATACTAGTATACAACTTGGAAATTGAGAAGTACTAACGGGAAAATCAAAAGAAAACCAGTGTTTTCTCATTTACATAAAGATCTGTTAAAACAAATATCTTAAAAGATGGCACAACATTACAAATAAGCCGTTCAATTTACTGCCCAAATTCAGTAATTGCAGACTACACCAGAGAGAAAGAGACATTTACAAATTTTACCATTCAATGTGTAAAAAGGTAGAGATTCCCCTCATACCTCCTGCAATAAGCTGTTTTGAAGGTGCATGGGAATGGCATGTCGTAACTGCGTAGCCCATATACAGTAATCTGAAACTGATGCCTCGGTTTTCATAACTGCGTTAAGTCTCAGTATTCAAATAAACAGTCATACTTTCATGTTTAACACTCCGAATTCACACTCAAGCTTTAAGGAGGCTTAGTGTATTAACAATATGCAACATCTTATAGAAAGTACTTAGTATTTTACAGTATCAAGGATTAATGTTGTTTTTGCAGATTTAAGCGAAGTGCTGAGCAAATTTTTCTTTCTGAAACTTTCTACTAAGCAAGCAGTCAGGAATGATCCAGTATCTGCTTGGCAAATCTGACTATTTAAAGGCAGAACAACATTTTTTGAATGCAAGCTCTGGAAAGTAATTTATAGCCCTACTTTCCATTCCCTTTTATTGCAACACATTTTCCTGCCAAAATAATCCATGCAAGAATGCATGACTGCAGGAATCCGCTCAGAGTTCAATAGTGTACTGTCAACTCCCTTAGTCTGATATATGACTCCTAATTGAGGGAATTGCCATCTTTCTCTTTTTTTTTTTAAAAAAAACAGATTTTTTAGGAGTAGCTCCGAAGAAAAAGGTAATGAAGAATAGCTAAAAAAACCCTGCATCTCCAACACTCTGTGACTAGTTCAATAAAAGCTAGCAGTCATCATTCAGGAAGACAAAGCCTTTGCGTCTTGCAAACCAAATACAGTTAAAATTCTTCACCTTCGGTTGACTTAGCAGTGACATCTGAAAGTGGAGAGATAAAATTGACAAACTCCATTCACACAACAATAACTGAATTCTAAATATATGATATCTGATGTGTTCTAAGTAAACACTAAGGCTACGAGAGTAGTCTCCCTTTGCTAGAAGGAGCAAGATAAAAAAAAAAAAAAGGAAGTCATACTGTTGCACAGAATTGCATTTTTCCAAAATAACTGTACACTAAAAAAAAATATTTGGAGAATCTACAGGAATGCATATTGGGATTGAAAACAACAACACAGTAAACAAACTTAGAGATTAATGGAGTCACATCTATTTCATTTATTTATTATTCTCCAAACAGAAAAAAAAATATTTCTGGAAAAAACCCTGACTGTATATAGCATTTCCTACTGAGAAATCCTACAGTAACGCATGCTGTGTACAGTTACAAATGTTTGCAGGATTGAGTCCTGAATTTATTTGCTCAATATTTGAGCAAAGTTATAAGCAGTTGCGATTGCTTGACAATGAAAAGGTAACATTTCAAAAAAATCATAGTTATTAGACAACAATTATTTTTACGATTACTCTTTGTTTCCTTTGTCTAGGGTTTTCATCCTGTATTTGAATCCCATATTCAAAACACCATTATATGGCAGGCCACGTAACAGAGCAAAAGCATCTTTTTTCAGAAAAATGTTAGTAACACTAAACTTTTATGACAAGTTTTCTCTCTCCTTCCCCCCAAAAGCACACATGCTGTCACAGTTTTATGACTACAAAATGAACTAAACCTTTTGAGACTCTCGTGGGAAACATCAGTTTACACAGGATTGAGAGCATTCAACTACTGCAATCAAATCTACCTGTGTTCAACAAAATTATAAAACAAGGACATTGGTTCATATTTTGGTAGACTATGTAGATTTCTATAAACAACATTTCGCAGCTCAGCATTTCAGAAGTAATTCACTCGATACAGGAGATGTATGAATAACCACCAAATGTGTGGGAGAGGAGTAAGTTTCAGTTGCAAAAGGATCCTTCAAAGTATCAAGTAAAGAATTTTTGAGGAAAAAGGCAGATTACACAGATATATATACAGATTCAACTAGTGCAAACCGTGTTTCCCCACGAGGCCAGCGCTCAGTCTAAATGACTATATGCTTGCTCCAAGACAGTGTCTGCAAACATGTTTGTGGTATTTGAACAAGCAATACAAATAGTTGGCCAGTGGTACACTTATCCCATTTTGTGCTTTAGGTTCTTTTCACATCACTAATCCATCAGAAAGAAATACATGCATATAAATAACACCCTCTTTCATATCCTTAGCTAAAAGTTGTCTCAAGTCTTGCAGTAATTCTTAACCACGTTGCTTAGGCAGAAATTTTTTTTTGTTGCTTTGTGGGGTTTTTTAAACAGCATTTTCAGCATTGTCAGGTTTAAAAAACAGTTGCTTTGTCTATCGCTCTAAGCTTCTATTCACTGCCACTTCTCACATGTCCTCCCCTTGGGCATTCCCTAGCTCTGTAATGTAACTTTTGCAACTGTTTTGGAGCAATCCAAGTCCTCATCAAGATCAGAACGTGAAGAAACAAGGGGCACACAGGACTGCTGCTCCAGTAAATAAACTGATTGCCCCAAATGGTAAGGATTCACCACATAGGTCACCTAGCACCAGAGACAAAAATCATGCCTTCGCTGGACAGTTCACTTACCTCCCGCAATTCAAGCCTCTGAGCCACTGCTTCCAGGCTTTCCTGGCCTGTGCTTTCCACCGACAGCGTGAACTCCACAAATTCATTGTTGAGCAGCTGGATACGAGCCACCAAGCAACTCTTGCTGGATACTGTGTAACGTCGAGTTCGTTTCAATTTTAACCCAAAAGGTAGAGGCATCTTCTTTTCCCCCCACTGGTAAAAAGCTAGTACGACTGGGACCTTGGGAGGGGACAAGCAGCTCTCTTCTCTCAAAAGGTAAGGAGTTGTAAAATCTCCAGAGATCAACCAGCAGCAGCAGTATCCATTAAAGACAAGCAAGTTTTCCACCAAGAGACAAGTAGAAGGGGCATCCACTGGAATCCTAGTAAGGAGCAAAAGAGAAAGAGAATAAATACGAGAATCGGAAATACTTTGACTGAAGGGGGAATGGTAACATGGGAAAAATAACGTATATTTTTTCTAAATCTAAATAATCAGTCTACTTTTCCAAAATGCAGAGCTGTTACACATTCAAATAATGAAATAAGCACCAGTGTTTCTGGTTTTTCCACAGACAACACCGGTCTTTGGCAAGTTTATTTTTTTTTTTTTTAAACTCGCAAGTGAATAATGATTCTTAATCAAATGCGGCTGCAATGTGTTAAAATAAGTATTTCTAAACTGAATCAGTATTTAAATGAAACACCTCTAAGAAGTCTGAGTTGCCCAAGGTATTTCTAATACTGAACAAAGGCATTTTCTTTAAGAGCAAAACCAGCAATCTGGCTTGTTTTTCAGAGCAGCATGCAGCCTCAGCTGCTATCTGTTGGATTAAACACAAAACCAAGCCCCATAAACGATTAAGGAAAAAAAAAGGCAGGAAGAGGGGCATTAAAGCTCACACCTTAGCCATTGCCTACCAGATAATTAAAATCCAATTCCTCTAATTTTCCCTGAATTGCAGCTAGCTGTACCATTATTTCTTATACTAAACTGCTGTACGATGTTTCAGGTTACGCTTTGCCTCACCAAGAGAGTACGTGAATTCTGAGAACCCTTTATTTTCCAGTTTTTCCTTGAAAAACATACGTATTCTCAGTCTAAAGGTAGCCACCCATTTCCCCACCTTTTGCAAACACCTTCACGTCTCCCCTCTGGTCAACTCCCTAACGTGCAAGCTTCGCCTTTCTCCTCGATTTCAAGTGTTTTCTTACCACACGCACCCTAGCCTGAGAAATTTATCACTCTTGCTAGTGCTGGGTTTCAGTAGGACATGCAAAATAAAAGCATTCTCTAAATACAGGGTTTTTTTCTGCAGAAGTACGTGTGTTGAGGGCAGCCGCTACAGCGAAACTGGGCGCTGGGGCTACCACTGAAGTGGGAGCGCTTCACACACGCGACATAAAGC